ATATTTTAAATATTTTATAATCAAATCTATTCCTTGTATTCTTAAGTTCGGTCGTTTTGAGGAAAGCCTTATTTATCAAATTATTCTGTGTTCTAATATTATATTCATTCAATTACTTATACGCTTTATATTAAAGCCTATTCTCATAGATTCATCTGAGGTTCAGATTCGATAAATGAAATACAATTGTCTCATCTAAAGTAGTCAGCTATCGAAAGTAGCATAAATAATCGATAATTAGTTTAATCCATTGTCGGTTCATTTATGTTTACCTATCGATTGTTTGGCGATGAGTTGATGCTTTCAGCAAACTCAATTTTTGCGGCGGATGCTGCAACTCTCGGCGAAATCGAATGTGCCGTGGTATTTGCGCTAAGAATTAAGACGATCATCAGCTAACAGCAGCAGTAGTAGCAGCTGCAGCAACAACAACAATAAAACACATTCATCACTCATACGCAGCGTGGCCAGAGGCAAGCGCCAAATGTTCGCATTGCAGTTGAAGGAAAAGGAGACAAAGCCAAACACTTGCAACTGTCGATTTTTCCAACTGTGTTCGAGTGTGTGTGTGTGTATTTATCTTTCACTTAAAGTGAAGATGACATTCTTTAAATGAAATTAACTGCCGGCAGCAAAAGCAACAACAATAACTGCTGCTGCTGTTGTTGCTGTTGATGTTGTTGTTGCTGTTGCTGTAGCTACTGCAAACGTTGCTGCTGCTTTGGCTGCAATTAGTATTTGTCTTTGCTAATACGCTGCCATGTTGGTATGCATCCCCAGTTTTGTTGCTGTTGTCGTTGACCAGTTGCTGTTGTTGTTGTCGCTTTTTATGTCACGCATAAAAAGTGTCGCACACTTGAATGAATCTTTTGGCTTTGGCTTTGCTTGTCACTTAGTTGTTGTTGTTGTTGCTGTTGCTGCGCTTGTTTGTTTATTTATTGGTCGGTTTGTTAGCTTCATGCATTCATGCATTTACAGCCGGCTCATTGGCTTAAGCGTTCACTTAACAGCAGCCGTCACTTTGCGAGCGAGGTCTCTGGGTTGGGCCATTGCCAGATGCATTTGCAGATAGTTTGAAGTATCGAAAGTACATTGTGTACGTATTGAAAACATATTGGCCATATGCAGGCCAAGTTTTTAATACCCCACACATCGTCACGTATTCCAAAGTTGATCTATCGTGCTGATAAGCCAATATATTTCACTCTCGTGTGGCCCACACTCAGCGAAACTAGGATATAAACAACTTGCACTTTTCAATTGAGTGAAATGCTAATTGTTACTCAAATTACGAACCATATTTGATTGGAAAAGGCAGATGTGAATATGCTTTTAAAATAAACACGAAAAGGGGTGAAAGACTGAGAAGTATAGGTTGAACAAATGAGAGTAAAATTAGGCATGTTGCTGTTTGAACACCTTGTTCAAAATAGATGCATGACAAATAATAAATGAATACATATTCAGAAAATAGCTTAAGTTGCAACGATATGTTAAGTTAATTTCATTTAGCACTTAGCCTGTTAAATTATATTATGCTGTTAATGCAATTAAGACAAATGCTGTGAAGAACATTTGATGTTAATGCAATTAGGGCAAATTCTGTTAAGAACATTTGCTTTTAACCTGTAAAATTCAACTATAGTTGAGTTCTCATATCTACATATATGTAACTACTAACATTATGTAAAGCATAACATAGGGCTAAAGGGATTTCATTTAGTAACGTAAAAGTATTCTGTAATTTCTCATATCTGCTTACATTACGTAAAGAAAGCTACAAAAATTGTGTTTAGTAACATAAACGAATTATCTCATGTGGCTATCGTTATATTTTAACAGCAGCTATTGTAAAGAAAGGCAACTTATTAAAATGATAAAAAGATAAGAAGATTCTGCTCATCAAACGCAAATGAAAGTCAATTTCATTTATAGTAATTTAATTTTATGACAAAAGGCATATAATATACTCCGTTTGCTCGGCATTCGAGCCTAAGCATAATATGTTAGATCACAACATTTTGCACAACAGCTGAGAGCGGCACATGGTTAGACAGACTTTCGAGCCACTTCCTGCAGCTCGTGCTGGCTCTTAAGATAAACTCGTTTAACGACCGTACTGACAGCTCATTCATGTAAACATAATAAAAGTCAATTAAATAACAAAAAAGTTATGCATAATTAAACGTATTATGCAAAATAAATCGTAACTGCTGCAGTTAGTGAGCGCATTAAATAACAACGCGACGCGACAATAGTGTGAAAATTGCAATTAACAATCATTTAATTGACACAAAACTAGGCCTAATTCAAGTAGTTCAGAGTTGTTTTTGGATTTTACTACACTATAGTTTGTATATTATAGTCATGATGTAAAACATATATTGCAGCATAATTAATTTAAATTGTTACAAATTTATTGTAAGTTTAAAAAAAAGTCACAAAAAAATTCGTTTCTCTAAAAAAATCTTAAAGCAAATGATAAAATTCTGTAAGCTAGATCATTCATACTCATTGACTGCCATGTAGTTTTTAAAATATATCTTATTAAATGCTTAAGCTAAATAGACTTTGGCATACACAAGCCATATATGTATAAGGATGCACACACACATATCTCTTATCAACATCTTTCATATAGATTGTTCAACAAATCTGTGCAAAACCTTCATCAGACTCGACAGCTTCGTGTAATTCACATTTTTTTTCTCATTCACTTTTATTGTAAATAAAAGTAATTACCGCCAATTCTGTGCAGGTCACGCCCCGAAAAAAAAAGTAAAAAACGAATACCGACAAATAATTAGCCAGGTTCGGTGGCTTCTTTAGCAGAGCCGTCGGTGAATTTTATTTGATTTTAATTGCTGTCCGTGCTGAGATGTTTGCCATTTAATGGCTTTATTTATGCGTGTAGTAATCAAGTCAATTTTTACGATTGCCGCCAAGCGGCAGCAGACGCAGCAGCAGCAACAACAACAACCAGTAGAGCTGCAAAATAAATGCAAATTTTCGTACATATATTTTTATATGTTCCAAAATCGAAAAACCGTGCACAAGTTTCACTTTCAACGGGAACACGTCCGATGACAGCGCTGCGTGAAGCGTCAGAGTCGCGTTCGTTGAGCGACGAGCGAAACCCTAAGGACATGTACCAAGAGATATTACCTTCTCTGATCTGCAGAGAAGTTGTCGTCGTTGTTGGTTCGTTTTTAAATGGACCACCCAAAAAAAAGTGATGTCTCAGCCGATATGATTTTTAATAAAGTTGTCTGTGCGCCTCTTTCTCTCTCTCTCTCCCTGTCACTCTTGGCAAACTGTTTCGAGCACAGCTGAGAAACCTCGAGATCATAATGAGTCTTCATTAAGACACGAAACCAGAGTGAGACGGACTAGGGAATATCTTAGACTATATATATGCCCAATCGGGGTTGCTTATATTAAAACTAAAAGCTATAAGTTGTTAAAAGCGGCTTTCACTATTGAAGGACATACGATTAGAAAACTAATTATTAAAAAATAAATAAAAATTAAATTAATTTA